TGATGATCCATTTTCTTTTTCCTTGAATACTTTTTTATTTTAGGCCTATCTTATGAAACCCACTTTATTTGTCTTGGCATGTTAATTCTTTTTTTAGGATACATTTTTATTGATTTCAAAAAGGGAGCGGGAGAGAGAGAGACACATCCATGAGGAGAGAGAATCACGGACTGGCCACCTCCTGCACGCCCCCTACTGGGGATCGAGCCCGCAACCCGGGCCTGTGCCCTTGACCAGGAATCGAACCCGAGACCTCCTGGCTCCTAGGTCGATGCTAAACCACTGAGCCACACCGGCCGGGATTGAATTGATTCTCAACTCCCGTGTTCTGAGGGGATCCCCCCACTTACCGTGTGTCCGGGCGACGCCTGCCGTGGCTCGTCCGGGATGCGTGCGTACAGGGGCAAGACTCTGTGGTGGTAGATGTTCCACCACAGGTTCAGGAAGTTCAGCTGGTGCTGGGGGGCCGTCCCAGGGGCCTCCTCCAGCACCGAGCCCGTCTGTGGGTTGTACTTGTAGCTCCACGGCTTCGTGGGGCCCAGAAAGTGGACCACCTTCGCCCTCGAACCGAACCTGGGAAGGAAACACGCAGATTTCCACTGGGGAGTGGACGGACACGTTCAAAAGGCAACCAACAGCCCGGCCGGCGTGGCTCAGGGGTTGAGCGTCGACCTAGGAACCAGGCGGTCATGGGTTCGAGTCCGGTCAAGGACACAGGCCCAGTTTGCGGGCTCCATCCCCAGTGGGGGGCGTGCAGGAGGCGGCCAATGCATCAGTCTCTCTCATCATGGATGTTTCTCTCTCTCTCTCTCCCTCTCCCTTCCTCTCTCTGAAATCAAATTTTTTAAAATATATATTTTATTGATTTTTTTACAGAGAGGAAGGGAGAGGGATAGAGAGTTAGAAACATCGATGAGAGAGAAACATCGACCAGCCGCCTCCTGCACGCCCTCTAACTGGGGATGTGCCCGCCACCCAGGTCCATGCCCTTGACCGGAATCGAACCCGGGACCCTTCAGTCTGCAGGCCGAGAGTCTATCCACTGAGCCACACTGGTCAGGGCTGGTCGGTGACTTTGATGTTTGGTTCACTCTTGTATTCCATTTCCTCCTGCATCTCCCCTCGGGCAACCATCCGCTGGTGATCTGTGTCTGAGTCTGTCTCTGTTTGTTTTGTCGAACGACCCTTTCCCAGGGGTCGCCTAAGACCAGCCTGCATCTCAGATATTTCCATGACGATTCATCACAGTAGCAACATGACAGTGACGACGTCGCCACGAAAATAATGTTATGGTTGGGGGTCCCCACAGCATGAGGAGCTGTATTTAAAGGGCCGGAAGGTTGAGAACCACCGCTCCAGGTCCATGCATGCTGTGTGGCCAATGGTCAGCTCCCATCCTTTTTCATGGCTGAGTAATATTCCACTGTGTTCCTGTGCCCGGAGCGGCTGTCGAGTTCAGCCTCACCTAATTGACCTGTGGCCGGGCCACACACATGTCCCAGCTTGGAGAGCGGAGCCCCCCCCTTTTTTTTTTAATTCCTCGCCGCCCCCTCTCAGGCTCACGGGCACCGCACATCCATGTACCACGGCGTCTCTGTCCGCCTGTCTACGGACGGACACCTGGCTCCCGGCCGTCGATCATGTTCGACCTCCAGTAGGGAGGGAGGCAGTCGATCCCTGATCCTCTCTCATTATTCCTGTTTCTCTCTCTCTCTCTTCCTGTCTCTGAAGTTCAACAAAACCACGTTTCGAAATTTCAAAAGCTCCCCCGGCCGGTGTGGCTCAGTGGATAGAGGGTCGCCCGGCAGACTGAGGGGTCCTGGGTTCGAGTCCAGTCAAGGGCACATGCCTGGTTTGCAAGAGGCAGCCGATGCATGATTCTCTCTCATCAGTGATGTCTCTCTCTCTCTCTCTCCGTTTCTCTCTCTGAAATCAATGAAAAAAATAAATTAAATAAAAATTCAAAAGCTGATGCAAGCTGGTTAGACCACAGAGTCCGGCCAGGGACTGGGCCCGTGTGTGGCACTTACTGTCTGAACGCCGGGCTGTAGGTGTAGGCGATATTGCTGCTCAGGTTGTAGACGAAGGGCAAGTGTTTCTGAATGTCGGCCGTCGGCCAGCTGCTGAAGAAACTGTTGAGCAAGCCCTGATCGGCCCCTACACGGCGAACGGAGACGTTAACGTTAACGAGGGCGTCTGAAGGGTCCCGGGTTCGATTCCCGGTCAAGGGCACAGGCCCGGGTGGCAGGCTCCATCCCCAACCAGTCGGGGGCGCGTGCAGGAGGCGGCCGATCCATGATTCTCTCTCATCATGGACGTATCTCTCTCTTCCTCTCCGTTCCTCTCTGAAATCAATAAAAATCTATTTTTTAAAAGAATACTAGGGACGCTTGAAGGTCATCCAAGGTCACCAAGCACATTTCCCCCTCTCTGCCCGCTAAAATATTATCCTCGTCTCAAAGTGAGACATAAACCAACATCATGAATTTGTATCGATTACCAGGAGGGAATGCCATGAATACATGACTATTTATGCTATACTATTCATTATTTTTTTAAAAAATTCATTTCTTTTATATGTCAACTAGAGGCCCGGTGCACAAATTCGTGCACAGGTGGGGTCCGGCTGGATTCCCAAGTTTGGGGCCGATCGGGGGTGGGGCAGACCAGGGGGAGGGGCCACGGGAGGTTGACCAGCCGGCCTCATCTCCTGGTCGAACTCCCGGTCGAACTCCCAGTCGAGGGGACAATTTGCATAGTCGCCTTTTATGCTATAGGATTGCCAGTGTAGTCAGCCGGTTGGACAGACGGACCGCAGGCCCCTTACCCTTTTATACATATGGATATTATATAATTGATTTCAGAGAGGAAGGGAGAGGGAGAGAAACATCCATGGGGAGAGAGAATCACGGACCAGCCGCCTCCTGCACGCCCCCGACTGGGGATGGAGCCCACAACCCGGGCGTGTGCCCTTGACCGGGAATCGAACCCAGGACCCTTCAGTCTTTAGGCCGATAGCTCTGACCACTGAGCCATACCAGCCAGGGCATTTTGTGTTGAAATTTTCATTCATTCCCAGGCAGAGGAGGAGGAGGGTCTGGGGTCCCCCAAACTCCCAGCTGCCCCTCACGCACCGTCGTAGCTGCCGTGGTCCGCGGCATGCTGCAGCAAGAGGCAGTGTGTCTGCAGGGAAGGCCGGAAGACGAACACCCCGCTGTTAAAGCAATCGGGCCAGCCCGGGTCCGGGGCGGCCGAAAACTCGCTCCTCTCAAACAGCTCGTCGATGTTGCACAGCACCTGTCAATCCAAGCAGGGGACACCTGTAGCCACGCCCCACCCCCCTGTGGCTTCCGGTTTCGCAGGTGAGAAAAGGGGGAGGGGCTGGAGGAGGGGCCAGACAGGATTGGCTCATTGCAACCTGTCCGTCAGGGGAGGTCGGAGCCCCAGGATGGTGGCTCTCACTACAGACGACAAAAAAAAAAAAATAGCCAATCAAGACGCAGTCACTACAGACAAAAAAAATAGCCAATCAAGTGCTGGCCGGTGTGGCTCAGTGGTTGAGCATCGACCTAGGAACCAGGAGGTTGTAGGTTTGATTCCGGTCAAGGGCATGGACCTGGGTTGTGGGCACATCCCCAGTAGGGGGCGTGCAGGAGGCAGCTGATCGATGTTTCTAACTCTCTATCCCTCTCCCTTCTTCTCTGTAA